GTTTCCACAGCAGAGAATCTTTTTCCTCATACTCTCAGAGAGCTTTAAATGCCACTTGGGATAATATGAGCATGCCGTCATATTTTCTTTACTCAAAGTGGCTTTCATCTAGCCACTCTACCATAAAGGGATCATTGATGCAGTTCTCTTGAGATGGTTGTTCTTCCGACAGTTTTTCCCATCTCTGCAGAGGACTTGTGAAGCTCTGTTGCAGTGATTTTTTGGATGTTGGTCATCTCCCAGACCACCGGAGTGCTGGTGGTACCACATCACTGTGAGGCACAACTTCACACAAAGCTTTGGAAATAGTTTTATACCTTTGCCCTGATATATTCCTCACCACAATTTTAGAGTTCCTCAAACTACATGGTTTGGTTTCTGTCCTGACATGCAGTGTGAATTGTGGGAAACTTATACAGGTGTGGGCCTTTGTAAACTCTGTCCAATCAACGCAGTTTGCACACAAAGGGAACGAACACTTTTGAACTTTTGTAAATAGAAGATTTCAAAAATTTCTAATAGGGCCAGGTAATATGGCCGATATCTTTATCAGGATAAACATTTCCATATCACTTGATATTGATAATTTTTAATGACATATTTTTAATAAAGACCAGAAGAAAAGTAGTACACAACTGCGTCATTTTATCACCCAGGCCTAATTTCTAAAAATATGTTTTCACTTTGTAGTTATGGATTATTGAGTACAGATTGATGGGCAAAATGGCAACTTTGTCAATTTCAAATGAGATCTACAACCCAAAAAGGGTGCAAAAAGTGAAGGGGTTTGAATACTCTCTGAAGCCACTGTACATGAAATAGAAGATGTTTTGCAATTCATTCACTCAAGTACTGCAATGACTAAAATGTCTTTTTGAACCACAGAGGAGAAAAAATGTGACATAAGAGCATGAATGGAGATGCTTCAAGAATGCCAATTCTACACAATGCTACACTCTAAAATATGTCAGTGGCAATGTCAATGCGGTGCAGGTGTGACCTGCTGTGTCAAACACTCTAACAAAGGCGCTACAGCAGACTATGCAGGAGGAAGCTGTCTCCTTTGATTTGTGCTCTCCTTCGGTCTGATTTGTCCTGTATCACCCCCTTGACAACTCAGGTTTATTACCTCCACACAGACTTAGATATGCATGCAGCGTATGTACAGCAGGGGTGTGGATTTGCAGAGCTCAGGACGGGCTTTTTCATTTGCATTCACATACTTAAACAGGGTTCGTTTCAAGCTTCAGAAACCACTTGTCTGGCAGAGTTTGGGCAAGGACACAGTGCCCGCAGATAGCATTTAACCCCATTGCCATTTTCCTTTTTACTGGTGTTGCTGCTGGAATTCAAATTGGATTGGAGTTTCTTTTCTGTCATTAAGTACACAAAATACTCCACAGTGACACCGTGTTGAAAAATGTTTCGGAACATGGTTTGTGTTGACAGTGCTTTACTGTTAACAAAAACCATGTGTTGACAGGGAAGCACAGAAATATTTCAACTCCAGAGTCAGTTCCCTGTCACATTTTGATTTAAGCGATATAGCTGGATTAAGTAAGATGTAAAATCATGAGTTAATGCCTCATCCGCCAGAAACCACAGATGTAAAGAAGAAGATCCTTACAAGAGAAGTGGATTGAGTACAGTTTTCAGAATAATTTCTTAATATTACTAACTTACTGTTTTTTCATGAAAGATTCTCCACAAATTTTTTACATTTCAGAGACAGATTAGAACATCGACAACTTGCTTAAGCTTTTGTTAATTCATAAACATGAAATAATAAAGTTTTCGAAAAGTACAACCTTACAAAAACATTTAATTGGATTAAATATGTACAATACTAAAAGCCACCGTCTACTTCACCTCTTAAGAATTGCAGGTCTTCCCCCAGCTGTCTAATGCAGGGGATGCCTGCCCGACCTTGACTAATGTCATTAGAAATTTAGAATTTAATGAAATTAAACTAAAGATGTGTGTCTTCTAGCACTTTGTTGGTCAGAGAAACAAATAGCCATGTGCCACCAAGGACGAACCAATTTCATCGGGCGGAGAAGCATGCAAACACTTTCTTTGGTCTTTCTCAATGCCATCATCCAGATTAGCCACCACACCTCTTCCTTCATCCGTCCATCCTTGAGTTTAAGTCACTTTAGTATTCAGGTGCTGATGGATTGGTTTGGACTGAAGGACACTAGAGGCTGCGTAGCATGCCAGTCATTTTCTAATAAAGGCTGTCGCTAAGCAATCTTCCATCCTGGCATATGGATCTCAATTAATGGACCACTGTGAAAAGTTCTCAACAGGAACTAATAGCTCTCCAGCAGGGGGTTAGAGGAACAGGGACAGTGGGTGTGTGTGTGTGTGTGTGTGTGTGTGTGTTTGTGTGTGTGGCTATATGTATTGGAGGAAGAGAAGGCGGAGAGTTTAATTGGCTGGTTATACATATATACATATATTAGAGCAAATTAAACACACCCAAACTTCAGATTTTAAACAAATAAAAATAAGTCAACTGAAAATCTGCACAGTGGTGTGTAGTTTTGATGTGTGATAAATATGATCCGGTGTGAATACAGTAGCCATTCCAGACACTGCTATTATATATTATATATTATGCATTACAATTGCAACATATATTACATCTTTACATCAGTGATACCATTTTGCAACACATTTATTTAAATCTACAAAAAAATGAACAGGATGAATTATTTCTGATGACTTGGTGATAATTCAGGATTATTGTCTCAAATTTGATGACAAATTTTAGGGAAATCATGTCGTGATGATATGACCTAAGATTATCACTCTACAAATTATGTTGCAAAATTGATGGTTCTCAGTATGCTGTAATTCAGCATGAACAAAACTGATTATTAAGGTTTTGGTTTGATGTTTTTATATTTGGTTTTATATCTTGATATGTATGGATATGAAAAAATATCTGTATTGTCATTATCATGATTAATATCCTCATAATATTGCATAATATTGACCATATATTTAGAAATATATAGTGCGCCGATCTCCTGACAGGCTGTGGACAGGAAGTGAAATCAATCCTGATATCTTCCGCTCCAAACCCGATACATCCATATCACACTGACATAATGGAGGAGAAGTGGACAAAAGTAGAGAAAAAAACAAACAAACACTGCCGTGATGGAGCACAAATGGATTACCCACTTGGCTTGACTTCAACCGGCCTTCAACTTAGCCTGCACCCACTTCAACAATATCTGCCAGAACTGCCAACTCAAGAGCAAAGAGCATCTCGATGGAAAAACCCGGAGATGAAAATTTAAAAATCAGCCTGGCGTGTCATCAGTGCAAATTAACTAGTTTTCATAGCTATGAAAAAATGCCTGCCTCCGACTCTCCTTTTCTTTTTGTTGTCCTATGAATATATTCATATAATCTCATTGTGTGGGGGTTGTGAGCATTACTCACTGTCGGTTTGTATTACTCTGTGGTGATTTACATAACTCATTGGATATAATTTGTCCACAGGTCACTCCAAACACCACAGCTCCACGCTCCAGACGCACAGACACACCCTTGCTTTTCATTCCATGCTCATAAATTGATCCAGTCCAAGATAATAGCTTTGGCAATTCCACTGACATGAGTAGTAGAGTGTGTGTGAGTGTGAATCTGTGCACTCTTTGTTTTTATAATGTGTGTGTGTGTGTGTGTGTGTGCCTTTCTGAAGTTATAGTATGCTGCAGTTGGGGAGCTGAAGTGAACCAGAGGCAGGAGTAATCCCCTCCAGTAGTGCTTTGTTCCATCAGCAGGACAGAGTGGGATCTACTTTACACTGACAGAAAGGGCTGGGGTCGCTCTGCATGGCTGCTCCAGCTTTCGGCAAGGACAAGAAACAAGGCTTCTGCTCAAAAACCTGCTGACGCTAACCCCTTTCAGGATAAGTAAATATTGTAGATGAAATGATCATATTTCAGACGAGGACAGAGAAACAAACAACGCTATGTGCACAGCAGAAGCGGCTTAGAGAGATAAACATTGTGAAAGTTCAAATAAGTACGACTGTGCAGAAAGGATTCTATTTTCATACAATAGTTTCTACTATCTCACGAAAACTTGTTAAGCTTATTTAGCTTCTTTCTCGGACCAACTGCAAGTGGATGCTGCGCTTTGCAACCAAAATAAATAAGAAAAACAAACAAACAACTACAAAAAGACTTAGTGGCAGTCGTCCCAGAAAAGACAGAGATTTGAGACAAATCCTACTGTGCATTTCAGAGGCGGGATGTAGCTTCTCATCTGCTCCAGGGGGATTGGACTAAGGCAGAGGACCATAGCGTTTGGAGAAACAGGGAGAGGGGAGGGGATGAAGGTTTAGGATTTGCCCTCGCTTGTGCTTTAGTGTTCCACCATTAAATTGGGGCGAACATGTTTTAATGCGATCACCAAAGACCGGAAGGGAAGGGCATGAATCACTGACGGCAAGTAAACAAGTATTGTATTAGCAACAAATAAGAGCCAATGTAGCTGAGGGGCTGTACAGGCTGGACCTTGAAATGCAGCTACAGCAGCTTGGCTTGTGTGCAGAAGCAAGAAAAGAAAAAAAATGGGAACAATCTCTCATGACTGAGCAGAATGACTGCACCACTGCTTTCAAACTTTATATAATTGGTTTTTTAAAATGTAAATGCATCAGCCAAAAAGCACTGGAGCAAAAGCTGTATAAACTTGGTGCTTGCTCATCAGTGTCCATGCCCTGTCAACTGACGTTTATAGGAAGCTAGTCCTAGTCCAAAACAACAAGGAGATGGACAAGGGTTGTTTTTTAAAAGAAAATCCCGGTCCAAATTATTTCTCAGTATACGGATATGCTTTCCCACGCTCGTGATGAAATGAATCATGTCCACGTCTGTTTGCCAAATTACCATAGTGTTTGGAAGCCCATTCTGAAGCAGTTAAAATCAATTCCTAATCGCAGCATTGCCAGAGTGTTGCTTTTGCTGCTGAATTACCTGTTCTCATTTCGCTGCGTGTATCTTGGTTGGGGATCAGCGTCTCCATCATTAACGTCATAGCTGGCCTCAGGGTCCTAAGAGAGACATGAAAAGGGTCAGGACACCAATCATGTCTCTTCAAACTCTCATTTTACCTCTGTAGTCATTTTTCTCTGCTAATTTTCTGTACCTGTGAATGCTGTTTACAAAAAAGGAAGCTACTTTCTACTACTATGTGTTTTTGACGTACATAATTGCTGATGAGATCAGGATGGTCCTTCTCAATGCCATCGTCCAGGATAGTCACCACGACACCTCTTCCCGTGTAGCCTTGAGCCCAGGCTACTTTGGTATTCAGGTCTTGATGTGTTGGGGTGGACTGGAAGAGACACAGGCCTTTTGTTCAGCTGTCAATCTGCTGTGACTGACACTTCCCACACAGCCCAACAGAAAAGGTCAGGGTGAGAACAGTCAGTCAAATCACCAGCAAAGGCTTTTTACCCTTGGCAAAACTTTACATTAAAAATGAAAACAGACAGGATACCAAAATAAAAACCAATGCAAGAGAAGGAAGATTAGAGCTGGTTCAGGAACACTTAAAATCCAATTTTAATGCATCACCCTGACATGTCAACCTCTTTAGTTTGAGCTGAACAGTGTGAGCATCCTACTGTAGTTACACTGTCGGAAAAAAAGACGGACAGGTCAGAAATCTTGATGGGAGCATTCGCCGCTCTCGCAGAAGAAATAACAGTGTGCAAGCTTTGAGAGGCGGGGGAGGGAGACAAATAGGGGATACAGTGAGAGTGGTAAAGTGTGATTTGGATGAATAACGGAAAATTCATACTGCAAGAAGTGTGAAGAGATGCGCACGCTAGAGGTGAAAAGAGATGGTAAGAGATAAACACAGATGGATGGAGGACTGGGGAGACATCATAGACAACCTCCTCTGCCCTCTCCTCCGTTTCCTGCTGATTTTTTTTTTCCACAGGGCAAAACTCCTGTTCATGCATTTCTGTGTGGATGCCCGGCTGCTTAGATGAGGAGCTCAAAATCATGGATGCTGTCTTTCAACTGGCACAGACACCATTCAATACAAATACTTAAGGTAACTTTTTTTCTACAGACTGATGGGGCTCCTGTACCCACATAAACCAATTAAACAAAAGGACTTTAAGTACCATAAATTGGTTGCACTACCAAGACTAAACTTCACTACTGGTGGCACATACCTTCAGCTAAACCATCTTTCTTTGATTTTTAAGCCAGAACTATATAGAATACTTTAAATTGGGAAAGAAAAAAGGGTTTAAGTCCTCAGACGATTAGAGGTCTAATGCTGAATGGCAGAGGTGGTTTCACAGCTTCTATTCACTGGTGATTTATTTCTGGGATAGTCAATGTTGTCATTAATCCGGTGTGATGACAGAGGTTTTGTGCATATGAATAAGAAAAAAGAGAAGATTAGGGCAAATTAAAGCATCTCTGAGAAAAGCTGCGAATAACGAAATAGAAGTAGGGCCAGGACCGTTTGCTATCAATGTTTCACAGGTGATACAGTTTAGTTGTGGATCTGACCTGACATCTAATTTTTTATTCAACCCAGCATCCTAACAGGCAGTGCATTATGCATTTGACTCAGGCAACCTTGTGTTGGTAGTGAAGCTGATGTAACTAAGGCCAACAGGATGATTACAAAAGACAGCAATTCAGTTTATACTTATCTGACTGATCACAAAGGAAGTAATATCATTGCGGTAATGAATACATGTTTAAGAAAAAGAAAAAAAGAATCAGGTGCCCTCTGAAAATTCTGCAGCGCTGAGTATTGTACTGTTTAACCATGGCTAAATAAGGAGGCCTTCAAGGTTTAATCAGAAATAATTGCAGAGCAGAAACTGAAAAAATGTCCAGGACAGCACTCTTCTGTTGACAAATCTGAATGCAGAAAAGGACATTCTCATTAGCCTCGAAATTTAAAGTGCCATTTTGAATGGAATACCAGAATATGAAATATCATTATATATTCAACTGGGCACCTAGTTAGATTGCTTTGTTGATACAACCAGCATGATTCAGCAAGCTGCACCTTGTATACCATTTCAGAACTAATACACATTTTAAACACATTAACGGCTTGAAAGTCAAGATATTGAAAAGAACCCAGTGTTTTAAAAAAAATGCCTCATTGCAGCAATTTTCATTATATAGCCATAATGACAGACTAATGAGGTGTAGGCTGTAAAGATCAGAGACAATCACCCACCAGGTACCACTGCTTGGGAAAATCAGGGTCTGTTGGGTCTTCAAACACATCTCTCTTCTTCCTTTTTCTTACCACTTGCTGCTCTGTCCACAATACCTGCGGTGCCCACACGTACATACACACAGTACACACAGTACACACAGTACACACAGTACACACACACACACACACACAAACACACAGTAGACACAAACAGTACACACACACACACACACACACACACACACACACACACACGCAGAGAGAAGCAGAGAGAAGCAGAGAGAATTCACAGTTAACACAGTTATCTTCACATGCTATTGTGTCATTACTAATGTTACAATTTCAGAAATTGTTGCAATGTCCCTCAGATTGTAGACGCGGAAAAACAAGGCCTCAGCTGTGTTCAAAAAGTAATAACTAGAAAGAGAGGCACAGATGTAAAGCAAATCTAATTTATTTCATTCTTGAGATGCAGAGGAAAAGTGGCTTCTGTACAGTGTGCCAGAGTAGGGGCCTTTGAAGTCCTGCAGGCTGCTGGGAGATGCACAGGCTTGGTAGAGGTGGCTGACAGAAAAATGCTAATATCACACAGAGTTAATGTCATTTTATACTTTTGTTTCTGAAGTTGCAAAGTTGCAATTTTATCAAAAAACAAAACAAAAAACAATTCCACACATCCTTGCCAAAAGCAACACAATAGCTAATCACTGAATATCTGTCAACTTGCCAGTTAAAATAACTCAGCTACAAAGCATTCTTCTGTTCACTTCTGCTTCATGCTTGTTTCTATGTATTCTGACAGGCATTTTGCTCAGTGCACATGACTGACAGTAGAAAGAATGGTTATAGACACCCACAGGGCTTCATATTTTCATTTATGGTTAAATATTTAAAACACACAACATACATATTATATGATAAAATTTTTTTTGAGCTTCTATTTCGTCATGTCACGTCACTACACTTAAGGGTGCAGATAGCAGTGTCTTCTCCAGATGTAGCAACTGTCAATGACAGCACATCCCTCAGCAGACCCCTCACCATTCACTGCCAATCTGTGGCCACTGTCCAAATATATATTTGGCACATTTCACTATGTGTATTGATAACTAAGCATTTCATATCCAAGCTGTGAGACAAATCCGATAAAGGCTGGTATTTTTTCCCTTAACAGAGAAACCCCCCTGAGAACTGTGGTAAAAAATAAATACTTCCACTTCCAAAACTGACACCTCACTGCTACTCATTAACAAAGGCAACATCTGGTTTATTAGTTGGATGAAAGCAAATCCAAATTTCTAATCCTCAGTTTGAAATTAGAAGACACAAACAGTAAACACCCATAAAGTACATTCAATGTTATATCCTAGATGAGTAAATCAACAATGCTGCCATGCCTTGATGCCTAGCAGTGTTAAGCACCTGTGGTATTGCTTTAACAAATAATACACTTTATTCTTATCAAACAATAGGCAACACAGCTATTCTTCATCCTTTGTAAATTAAGGAGTAACACATTCAAAATTATGTCTGAGAGCGAACTTGGAATGAACTAATACTGTAGCAAAGGGAATTTGCATAGTAGAAAACACTTATCTTCTGCAGCAGTTTAAGCAAATGTTGTTGTGCATTATTATTGTCAGTGACAAATGCATTCTTTGCAGAATTTTTGCTGAAGGTGAAAAAGCTTAAACTGGTCCCACTCTTGTATCACTCAAGTGAAACGTGCCTAAACTTGTGAGTTTTCTTCTTCTTCACAGCCTGGCAGATCCTCATAGTACAACTTGTTATTCAAGTATTTCAGTCCTTTTCAATTGTTTTTTCCTTCTTGCTTGTTACTGTGAGGGTTGTTTCTGGTGGTGAGGCGTCTCTACTCGCTTGATTTCATGATTACATGCTCTTGAAAAGCATGTGATCTGAATGGCAAACGAATGAGAGTGAAAACGTTCAGTGCAGCTACGGACTGCGGTGTTGCTCCAACCCCTGGTTGAAAACCTAGCCACAGAGAATGAAGCCATTAACTTCATACAAGTGACTAGAGACTAATTAACATTTATCTCATTTCATTACATTTAGAATTGCACATGACTGACCTCACTGCACTGCTGCCCACTGCACGTCACATTATTATCAGAACGAAATGACAAGTGATACACGAGCGAGATGATGATCTGGATGCAGCCATTTACTATAAGATATTTAGTGTTTCATTTATAAAGTCAATTAATGCAAATGATTAAACACTGGCATATTCAACTCACAGATGACTCATATTATCATCAAGAAAACTGACATTAAATATAATTAATGTAATGTAATGTAATCAAGTGAGTGATGGAGGACTAATTAGAGCACAGAGAAATAAGGACCACCCTGAGGTCTGGGACAAGGACAAACAGTGAGCGGCATACAAAACCAGACAAAGAAGCAATCATGAGACAACAGGGGGATCTCCACATGGGCTGGGTCTGTAATCCACTTGAGCAATAAACTATTTGTTCCATCTCTCCCACAACGTCCTGAGGGCTTTCCTGTCTGATGACTGAAGAAAAGCCATGCTGGTATTGTCTGTGACACAGAGGGACTGGTAGAGAGACAGCATGCGCTTTGATCTATAAATCTGCCCCGCCACAGTTTATTAAGAAAGAAGATGTAGTAAAGGATAAGTTTGGTGATATTCTTTTTTTTTTTTTTGTTATTATCAACAAATCCCATGAAATGAACAAAAAAAAAAATCAACAATGAATTGATACATAATGATGAACATGGGCACTGTAGATTATTCTCAGTTGATCCCACGTACACTGCTGCTGTATTGTTAATCAGTGGTTCCCTACCTGGGGATCAGGACCCTCCCAAGGGGTTCCTAGATAAATCTGAGGGACTGAGTCACAGAATATTCTTTTAATCTTTGATTTTCTTTTCTTTTCTGAATTGCTGGATAATTGTATAACTCTTAGATTTTATGACCTCTAAAAATCAGCTCAAACAGAGGGAAGGATAATTCTCTCTGCTGATGATAGCCCTCAACAAATACATTATTTCTTCCCGTCAGTACTGTGACTCTTCGTTTCACATCTTCAGTAGGAAGCAGTGGGGTCAGGGCTGAGTGCCACAGACAAGCTGGGTAAGTCAGAAAGTACAGAGAAACAAACTCGGTTTAGGTCTTTTCATGCGGTTTGTCAACAACAACACAGGTATAGAATATTGCACTGTACTGCCTCATGCAGCCCCTAGAAACACATTTCACTCTGAGAGAGAGAGAGAGAGAGAGAGAGAGAGAGAGAGAGAGAGAGAGAGAGAGAGAGAGAGAGAGAGAGACGTAGTAGTCCCTCTGAAAACACAGCATGCAGTAAGCTGCCTTGCACTGCGGTTTGTACAAAAAAACAGTAGCAGCCACCCCAAAACAAATCGATTCTTTCCCTCATGGAGAAGGTGTGGGGTGTGGAGAGCAGATGACAAACAGCCCTCGCAAGCATAATGTTAAAAGCTTATGCAGCTGCCAATGTCATCTTGCCACTGTGTGATTATTCAAAAGGGATGGTGATAAGCGGCATGTTAGCATGACAGAGCAGAGGAAAAGAGACAATGGAGGTAATGTTAGAGACAGCAGCTGGATTACAGAGAGGAAACACTATAACAAGCTCAAAGCTTAGCACTGACTAATCCAAATCCAACCATTATGTTTTCATTGCCTTTTAAATGTGTTTTCTTTGAAGCAGGTGAAGCAGAACCTTTTCTTTCCCCTTTACCAGGGATCACATGGACTCACAAATACATATGAATATACAAATCCACATAAATAAACACACATACACACAAACCCACTCACTTATCATGTGGTGTTTTTTGGCAGTGGCCATGCTTTGCCTCAGGTTTGGTCTGTTTCTGGTTGTGTGGGTTGGGAAGTAACCTAGGGACAAACTCGATGCCCTGAATAGCTGTGGGTTCAAGTGCTGTGTTAACTCGAACTACTGACCTTCTGACTGAGATGAACCTGTGAGATGGAATCTTTCTGTCAAAAAATGTCTTCATATTAGATAAGGCTTTATCTCTCTGGCTCTGTTGTTACGGCTGCAGCTTTAAATCCAAGATGCCTTCACTCTCATTTGATACTGCCAAACAGCATATACAGTATGAACGGAGCAGGGTAAACTCCACTTTCCATCTTCCAGATTAATTGTGGTCCTTGCCAGCAACTTATTAGGAGCACATCGACTTTCGATTGACTGTCCTGCTGTTTTGCCAACAGTTTTGCATTTTGTCCCTCACAAGTCTAAAATCCAGTATTGCACACCATGACGAAATCCTCAGTAACACAGATGAAATTCTTACCTCTTTAACTGCCCATAGTAAATCTCATTTGCTGTTGATTTTGGAGATCTCAGAATAAACCTCATAACAATCTGAATGCCAAAGCCCTCCCCCTGCTCCCATGCAGACACCTCTGAACCCATATGCTCTCAGAGCCTTGTTAACATCCATTTAGGCTGACCCCCGACACCACTGGCCTCAGTGAATTTCACCATATCTCACTAATGATGTCTTGGAGCCTCAGCGCTTGTCAGACCACATCAGTCCTCTTCTCAGCCACCTCGACTTGTTCTCTGTAAAAGCTAGAGAGTAGTCCTTGCTACAGATGCCCCAAGTCTGTTCTCACGTCGTAACTGTCCCCTTTTTAGCACCAGTCAGGTACCTCTTAAGATACGTTTAAATAGCAGCAATTACCACTGCTGCCTCCAGTGTTTCCAGTGGAAATGTGGCAGCAGCGTGCTGCTGAGTTAGGTGGCAGCAGCAGTGAAAGAGAGGGTGGCTACTGCACTTGTAACAAATGGCTATTCACATCAATGGGCAAAATCTTAAGTGTGAAGGAGAGGCTGGATTCCAACTAAAAAAGACCAAAAGATCAAACTTGAGATGTTACCTGACTGTTACAGCTTTCAGGCATGCTATCAACATTATGGAGGGAAGATTCAAAGGGGGAGTTCATGCAAATCCCAAACAAATGTTTTTTCACTGTTACGCATCTTACCTTGTAAATAGATTTGGTTTTAGTAAAGTTTTTTTTTTTTACCACTGAGAATTCGCACACAACCGGTGAATAGCATTTTGTTTTCAGCACTTGAAGCATCAAAAATATTTTACAGAAAAACTGAGGCAATATCTCTTTTCAGAAACAATGTTACATAGTTCTCACTGTCAGCAGAGCTATTTTCTATGTTGTTTTCTAGATAAGAAAGAAATCCATTCACAGTGAGCTTTGTCAAGTATCCCCGTTTTTGTTACTCTGACTTCTGTGGCATTTTTACACACTCAGATCGAAGTAACATTTCCTCCCTCAGCTCAGGTGTGAATAAAAGCAGCTAAGTCCACAAACATCCACAAAGGTCTTGACAATCTTCAGTCTTAAACATGTAGAATAATAACCTTTGTGTTTGTAAACCCCATACACAAACCAAAGGTGTATAAAGTTAATTTGAAAAGCATATTCGCTACAAAATCTTTTCTGTGCATTGCTGATTAGATAATTCAGCCCAGATAATGTGAGCTTCTGACAGTGATTAAAATAACATTTTTCATACAGGCCTGTTTTATTAGCAAATCCCCTGTTGCCTTTACAAGACAGCATTGTAATAACGACAAATGTCACATCTAATGACCATTTTGTATGCACAAGGAAATGCTTTGTTTAAAAGATGATATCTAGCTCTTACTTGAGGATTATTTTTGCTAGAGTGCGAGGTGGCTCAGGTTGATGTGCTTTGATCTAGAGGCTGCTGCATTGTTCAGCTGTAAAAAATTCAAGAGTGATGTCTATAATATAAATGTAATAATCGGTATGAAGAGTGTTAAAATTATCCAAAAAATGTGTTCCTAGCCCGTGCGTGAACTTCACTGTGCAAAGAAAACCCAAGGACTTCTGTCAATACAGAAAAAGGTTATTCATGAAGGCAGAGAACAGTCAAGTAGTGCTTTATGCCCTCCTCTATTCTCTCTCCTCTGGTTTCCACTGTCATTTTTAAAATCACTCCCTATGAGAAAAAAAGCAGGTTTTTATCAAATTTGGAAAGAGTTTAATTCTCTTTGGTTTGAGAAATAAAATCAATACAAGATGTGGAAACAGTGCAAACATAATATTATAGTATAGTGGACTGTAGAACTGGCATTGTGAGATTGCTTATCTCTAAATCCCTAGTAAGAAAAAAAAAAGAAGAAAAAGCTTACTTCCACAGCATGGAGCTGCCAACATAGTGGCATTTCCATGCTGACTCAACTACATCTGGTATACACAGAAAGTGAGATTTGCAAAGTTTGTAGTACGCCGGGTATAAATTCATGGTTAGACTGGGTGAAAATCCAGAACCAGATGTCCTGAAAATGACATTCAGAGCTGGAAAACATTCCTGATTTTTGATGTTTGATTGAAGAATTCCAATTTTCCACTCTAGTTAACACTCAGGTACATACAATATGTGACAGGAGAAAAAGCAAAGCCAAACACAGAGACACTCCCAGCTGTTGTTTTGTTTGGGAGGGTATATTTTGCATATTTACAGCTATGCGGTGCCTCGGATTGGGTCAGAGGGACAGATGGAAGGACTGGTGTGGACTGCAAAGGATTCAGAGTTTGACAAGCTGTCATTGACGGTGACATTCTTTTCTCTTGTGATATATACACAGTTTCTGTGTAATCAAATCTGTCTTTTGGCCTTTTGTTGCTGCAATGAGCTCTGTGAGAGCTGACAACAGTCTTACCTGTGGTTCTTTTTGCAGTCTGATGTGCATCCCCCTGTGGCCAGACAAAGCTCTCTTCTCCACGGCATGATGCCTGAAGTGATAATAATCTCCAAAAACCTGCACAAACACAAAGGGAAAAGCAATGAGTTCACCTTCAGCAAAAGGATGACCAGATAACACTCCCTGCTCACCAAGGCATTTATGTGCACATGAGAAAATGTGCAGATAGTGTTCATGTGGGAAAGAGATGAAAACAGACATGTCCATTTGGACATCAGAGCTTAGTGTTTCCTGTCCATATTCAAAGCTAAATGAGTCTATTACTGTTCTGGCTAGTAGAAATGTGATAATCTCTCCACCTTATCACAGATGAAACACCATCATTTCACTAGCACCCATTACATATCCTGTGAATCCCAGCCACGGAAGCGGCATTATGACTGTTCTAATTGTTGAAGAAAATGTGAGACACACACACAGACATCCATTACACGACTGCAGATGGACATTACCTAACACAAATTATTAGATGCATCCATTAGAGGTAGTGCCACCTCAGAGCTATACTGAAGCATTCCTTGTAGCACTGTCATTGTCCCCTCACACGTCCTGCTCATAAAAGACATTTTAAGGAAAAGCAACTGGGTGACAGCTGACATGAAACTGGCCTAAAACCTCAGGGAGTGCTTTCTTTCTGTGCGCCTTGCTCTTAAGTGACACATGGAGCAGCCTGAGCCTCCCCTAGTAACGGTCAAGGACAGCTGACCTGAGAGCAAGACAGAGACTAAATAATACAGACAACCAGAGAAGAGCGCACAATAAAAGATAAAAATAACCAAACAGAAGGTGCAGGAAGAGGAAGACAAGGTGCAGCCCAGCCAGTCTTTACATGAGTATTCACAAGAGTGAAGCCTCCATTTGAAGAGGAAGCACAGCAATCTGTACAGTAGTGCCACTGGGGACTGGCTCACCTTCACAAGCCCAGTGGAGCGGAGGAAGAGAGGGGGGAGAGGAGGAGGAAGTAGGGGTGGGGGGTGGTGGGGGATGACGAAGGTAGGCAATGGGAGGGAGATGCAGGGTTTGACAGGCCGACTGGGCAGGATGGATGTGTGTGAGGAGGGAGAAGAGCAGACGCAGCAGGATGGAAGGTTCTCTTGGGGCTGCAGGCTGATTTTGCAGGCTGGCTGTCTGTGAACCGACCAGACTGGAGGCTGAGGCTCTGAGGCCTTGTCTGGTAGAACTGATCTAAAGCTGCCAGCCCAGCGCCGGCCAATTTGACTTCATTTGCCAAATATTTGTAATTAAGATTTTAAATCACTTGCTATGATAATCTCCAAATAAACTGAGTGAACATCAGTCTCAAATGACTCTTGGAGTTCTGTTGCACGTAATTACGAGTGGAAAAGATGAACACGGGTGCTTCTGTGAGGGTGAGTTCCAAAAAAAAAAAAAAAAAACATTAAATGATGAGAAACATTGCCAGTGAAAATGTCAGCATAAAAAGATGTGGGGATGAGGGTACACTGGTGCATGTGCTATGGACATGGCTCCAAAATGTTACGTTTCTAATGTCATAAAGATGCAGTTTAAATTCTGTCCAAAGCTTTTATCTAATAGGAGACTGTGAGGTGTTATCTGCTTTTCCACAATCACTGAAGTATCACTGAAGTACAGCTATTATGATTGCATGGTAAATCATTCTCAAGAAACTGGAGGATGTCTGGAGAGCCTCCTTTTCAGGCCTTGGTGTCTAAATAAAGCACTTCTGTAGCTGCCTATGAAAGAGTGTCACATAGCATGCAGGACAGGAGAGAAAAATATCTCCTCAAGTGAGGCATGTCTTCTATAAAAGTGTCGGCGTAAAGACGAGGTGGAGACACACTGTTTTTGATTACTATGTGAAAGATATCGCTATATTATTATTACTTTATTTCATTTTATTTATTGTTTTTTTCTTAACTACTTATTTATTTATTCCTCTGCAGAACTGCATTGCCTCAGTGGCAATAGATTTACAAACAAGTCACTCTATATGCAGCTCGACTCCCCTTGTTTCCGTGTTGGGTGGGGGAGGGAATAGGGAATTTGAGTCTGTTTGAAATGGAATGTATCATATGCCATCTGTTGTATGGTGGATGTTTATGGCACAAAATAAAAATTGCAAGTAATAAAAAAAAAAAAAAAAAAAAAAAAAAAAAATCTTAACTGATTTAAACTGTACACAGACATGGATCACATAACTATGTGATAAGTCAAGCAATACCTGATAGTTATCATTAAATGCCTAGATAACAAGCAGAAATAAAAATGCCAAATAGGTAATATAGTATAGGAGCAGTAAGTTAACGCTGGACAGAAGAGTGAATTAATAGGATACTTTCATTAGAGACACTGTTGTGCTAGGTCCTCAGCTGATGTGACATTGTGACATCGTCAGTGAGTTATACAATCAGCGACTGACCTCACAGACATCGGGTCTCGAAAATTATGTCAAAGCCGTGTGAAAGGAAATGGCCTCTGAATGATGCAAGGATGAGGTGTGACGAAGGAGGTGACCCAAGAAATTAACGAGACCCACTTTCACATTGATTGCAGCAGGGCAGAAAGCTAATTTGTGCTGCACCGGGGTGGCTTTTCTGTGGGACAAACCCATTTCCTAGAGTGCTGATGTCCTCGTTTAAGACCAAGAGTCCATGGGTCTTGGGAAATTGAGATGGAGATAGAAATGTTGGTGTAGCTGCCCATGAGTGCAGCTGAGTCATGCCTCTCCAAAGTCGGAACCAAAATGAATCATATGTTGTGTGTGTGTGTGTGTGTGTGTGTGTGTGTGTGTGTCTGTGCGCCTGTGTGTGCGTGCGTGTGTGAGTGTATGTGCGTCAGTTTGTGTATGTGTACCAGTGATAATAACTGAGAGCTCTATGGGTCATTAGTCACCCTGCCACTATGCTCAGAGTCTGCATTAGATGCATCCTGCCCTTTACACTCTTCACTGGGCAGCAGCATCAGAGATTACTATCTCATATGTTTTTACTTTAGCTGTTTCACTCCAGTCTCCATCTTGTCTGCACCTTCATGTAGCCTTGAAGTAAATCTTCTAGCAGAACTGTGCAATGTATCCCATTAAAAATAACCCAAAGACAAAATTACTAATTAAGACATGGGAAGGTTATTTTCATTAATGATTAACCTAAAAATGCCTATCCTAAGTTCTATCATAAGAGTGTATGGTGATGTCTTCAAATTGCATGTCTGTCTGTCTGACCAACAGTCCAATACCCAAAGATTTTCAGGTTACAATAATATAAAACGGAGAAAAGCAGAAAATCTTCACATTTAAGAAGCTAGAACCTGTGACTCTTTGGCATTTCTGATTAAAAAATGATTTAAAGTAATTGTTGGTGATTAACACCTCTGACGATCAATTGATCAACGAACTGAATAATTGTTTAAACTCTACAGGGAAGTGAAGTGATTTATTTGGCTGAAGTCAGTTAGTATGGCAAAGTCAGCACTAAATAATCATTTTACAATAAAAAAACAATTTTAAATTTAAATACATTAATGGAAGATAAAGATAAGTTTATAGTATATTCTATTAGTATTTAGTACTTGCTCAGTTCATGCTGTGATCTCTAAAATATGTATCTGCACAGAAGACGAATATGGAAATGAACCCATGTCAGCTCTGTGAGAGAAGAGAGAGAAGTTGTGGCAAATTTATGTTTTTAAGCTGTGCCCAGAGGTTTCCTTCTGGCCAAATTCAAATCTGCATATTGTAGACTTGAAGAACGACTGCATGTGTTTCCATGGTTCATGTACATAAGCAGAGAAAGTATAAAAGGGAAAAAATAAGACATTACTGTTGACATCAGCAAGAATGTTGCACTATACTAAATGTGTTAAATAACGTATTATATATAAATCAAGGACAAGCCAACAAAAGCTGACCTGACAGACCTGAACAGAAGTTAAACGGAATCTCTGTGGATTATAAAAAATAGGATGAATTATATTCAGAAAATAGGAGCATAATGTTGAATAAGAGGTTCAGTTAAAGTATGAATCTGTCTATTCAGGTGAAAGGACAGACTCTTATGAAAAGTGTTGTTGTAAACTATAGCGAAAGTAGCCATTGTAATGTATTGTCAGATATAATAACCTTTTGTTTTCCTTTTGTTCTTTCTTTGAAAGACCTGAGCCATAGTGGACTGCAGATTTCACCATGTTCATGTTTTTCATTTTACATTCTAAAATCAATGAGATTCGCTGAAAAATCCAAATTTGAATGAGAGTAACTAATTTTCAGTGTCAGGTTTCAAAACTCGCAGCTGATACATATAAGACCAGATGTTAGCAGCATGAGGTATGAGTATCCAGTGAAATATTTCTCACTGACTAAAATAAGTCCTGATGTCGGCCTACATACTTTTGCAAACGCTTTCATTTAAAAAACAAATTCAAATTTTTATTAACCTACATAAAATATATTATTTTTCATACTGCTTTGGTATAATAGAAACACTGTATATGGTATACCTCTGCCAAAAAATGTACAATACCACAAACAGGGTATTGTGTTGTAATTGCAGTGCTGGGTGATATGTTGAAATTTTGCAACTGGCCATTGTCAATCCAACAATTGGTGATTTGCTGATATATTCTCGAAGGTGTGTGTATTCATATGGAAACAGTCCAATGGCATCAGATGAAGGATGCCTCTGTTTGTAGATTCAGAACAGGTGGGGATAACATATGCTATTAAATGGTCAGGGAGCACAACTGCATATCCAGGTTTTGGCCTAGTTCTCAAATGTGATTTATGAAATGATGTTGATTCTCAGGAGCAATCGATTGGACAGCAAAACTAAAGATGGGTTAATTGTCATTTGGTCACTGGCCTTTTTTTGTGAAAGATGGAAATCAGCGCAACAATAATTTAATGTGTATAATATGGCCCATGTCCAAGTGCACAATTGGTTTTTACAGGTTTTAAATTCTCAAGGAGGGAGCCCAATAAATTAACAAAATAGAATGAGAAATATTGCTTAAAAAAAAAAAAGCAGGGGATTCAGCCAATTGCCGACAGCTGATATATTCATCCAGTCATCCAACCCTAT